AGCAAATCTATCAAGTAAAAAAGGAAATGTCTTGTCTACAGTAATAAGATTTGGTTCAAGACACTTACTATACAATATAGCTAAACTACAAATCCCCAATTCCAGCTACTGTTTCCTAGTCATTGCTGATGGAGAGAAAGTGAGGGAGGACAGAAATCAGGAAGGGTATAGTGAGTAGATAACAGAAAATTATATACAGTATAGTTTAATAAATATAAAAGTGCATTTCTGGCTCTGGTGAGTAGGCTTATGGTTGTTAACTCTCCTGCAGTTGCTGTCTGCACCTACATGTACTGGGCTTCCAGAGGAGTTAGTAAATACAGGGTTGCTAGGGAGCTGCACTCCTCTAGCTCGAGCTACTTTTAAAAAGTTTTGGTTGCTCCCTGCCTGCCTCCCCCCACTTGTACTTTTTCTGTCTCAAAGCATGTGGGGGACGTGACAGCTACATTCAAACTAATCTCCACTGACATGAAGTCTGAACATGGCAGCTAGAGTCTAAATGGGGAAGAATCCTGGGACTTGTCCTTACTGGAGCAGTTCTTCCTCACACAATTAGTTCATGGACTTCAAACAAAGAAAGGGCTCAAAAGTTATTCATGTATGGCCCCTGGTGTCAGGGCATAAATCGTAGACCTCAAATCAAAATGTATTCTACTCATTATCACCGTGGAATACTTACATTTTATTTAGTGATAAATACATTTGATTGCTTCTGTGCTTGGCAGAAATGAGCTAGGACAGATTTGATAACTCTGCTGATAATTGTTTCAGAGAAGGAAACTGCCACAAGAATAAGTATGGTGAGGTGCCAGGGTCGGATCCTGTGGGCCTGGTTTTATGCAATATTCTAGGGGCTTCCATTCTGTTAAATATATTGCAACATTGCCATATGTATTGCATAGATATAGATATATTTGTGCCTTTCCCCAAAGAGGGAAAGCCTAAGCCTCATATCTTTTATACTGAAAGAAAAAAAAAAAAAAAAAGGGGGGGGGGGGCGGCAGGGGGAGAGGGGGGAAAAGGAGAAATTCATTCCAGAAAAAAAAGTCAGAAAACTACGGACATCCATTTTGTCTTCTATACATTTCTCTCAAAATTATGCTGCTTCATATATGAGATACTCTGAAAAGATGAGACACTTGGCAGCAATGTATGATGTACCCCAATGGAAGTACCTGGCACTGAATTCCAAGTATTACTTAGGTGTTTCAGTAACTATCTGCTACTCAAGCAATTTTAAACAAGAACCACATTCCAGAGATTTCACTCTATACTTTCTTTAGGGTTCAATGTACATTCATGCATTAAATGTATTAATTTAGGTCTGTTGTAGGTACATACAGCAACAACGAAATATAGCCACCCCAGAATAGTGTCTGGTGAGCATTGAGTAGCACACGATGACACTGCAAACAGCTCAGGACAAAAAGTGAAAAATCACTGGCATTTGAGGTGAAATCTGTTGGACTGCAGATCAGCTCTCTCAGGGAAATGATCCATCTTTTAAGACATTTAAAAACTAGACTGTAGAAAATACTAAATTGCTAGATGATTATTGTTAGTGCTGTTTCTCTTGTCATCACACCTCTTCTGATATTTTTATTGCAACAATATATCAACTCTAACAATTTTCCTACTGTACATGCAACTTGGGTTAGTTCTTGTTTAGCACCAAGGTAAATATATGGTGTGTTATTAAGATGAATGATGTGTTGTGATCTGTTTGAAGTACTCTTGTATTGATTAATAAAATGAGATTTTTTTTTTTTTAATCAGCATGTGCCATGTAGACTTGATAGAATGAACTGTCTCCATGTAAACTGAGACATTTTATTTCAATTTCAAACCCTCAATCGGAACCACTGACATTTCATTTAATACAATATTCATTACAATATTCATTAACCTTAGCCCTTTAAAGTATATTGTCCAGTAATAAAGCTCAGTGCACTAAAAGATACATTTGCACTACATTCATTTCATAGCCATAAAAAAAGATTGCATTATACATAAAACTATCCATCTGGTCTCATTGTCATTTTCTCTCTCACACACACACACACACACACACACACACTCTCAAAAAACCAATATGCTATTTTGTTTGCAAACTCTAAAGAAGTGGAAATTAAACTTCTGACAGCATGTAATATTTTACAGTACACTGTGTGCCTTTTACTCAGGAAGAAATAATGGAAACGACAATGTTACATTTTTCAGAATCATTATTTAATTCTCACAGCCTTCTGGTGTAAAGTGAGTACATCCCTCCTGAACGGACAGAGACCATGGAAAAGTAAAGCCAAGGCCACCCAACAAAATCTTTTTCCTTACCCCAGTCTCACATCCCTACATCTTGGTACCTCTGCAAATGCCATGTTCCATGGTCCTCCTTCTAGATAAGTTACAACATGGCCAAGTCTACACCAGACTGCCTGCGATGGAATGGCACGGAGACCTTGTGCATCACAATCACAGCACATGCCCAAGTTAGCACAAGTCCAAAATTAGAAAGAAGTATTTATCATGCACAATTTTCTGCATAACCAGCTTACAATTGATCCATGATCTATGTACCCCAAATTAACAAACCGGTAAAAAATGGTGTGTGGTGTTGCTAGAGCAGACGTAATAGAGGGTAGGTACTGTTATATGCCAACTACCAAAACAAGGGTACACAACAACCATTTTGAAGATGAACAGCTACTCTTCAACACCTTCAGAAAGACTGAGGATGTGCAGCTGTGTTGGCTGGTACCAGCCTTGCAATGAAGCAGTCAACTACAGAAAGCACAATTTTTGGACAGTGCAGTGTCTAGCCTACTATTCTCCTTTTTGAACCATTTTCTCTATACTCGCTCTTATTGAAGTAAATTGTTTTCAAAGTAATGGATTTGCTTATTTCACAACCCTTGCTGGCTTTCAAAATATTGTAAGCATCATTTTTATTTGACAACACGCACCCTATATTTCTAGTGTACTTGAAATAGGCTGAAATTTAAATACCCAGATACCATATAATTAAATCATTCAAATCGAGAAACAAATTAAAATGCAATGTCAGAGCAAAACAAATGTGGAAAACATACTGCAGTAATACTATTGGCAATGGGAAGAAAACCTGAAAAACATAAAACCCTGTTGCCCCTGACACCACCTTCATGTCAAGTATTCAAGATACTCATGACTTCAGGAAGACTCTTCTCTAATAAAACGGTGTTCTGAGTGAAAGTTGAGTGGCCAGCTGTAGGTAAGTAAGAGAGCAGGCCAGACCCATTGCCGGGAGGGGGGGGGGGGGCACGGTCCCCAACCACATCTGTCCTACACAGATCTCTCTCGCTCTATAAGTAGACAAGTAGGTAGATACATACACCACGCACACCCTTAAGTTATCATATGCAAAACCTCATCAATGCTCCAATCCAAAAGTCAACTGAGTGTTGAGCAAAAACACAATTATAAGAGAAAGCGGGTAACTGCTAATAAGTATCATCACCAAACCGCTGTGGTTTCACACGCACAGGCAAAGCCACCTTAACTCAGTTTAGGGATAATGAGTGGTTTCATGACCAGGTGGTTTCTTTAAGAGTAACAAAAACTTTCTAAATGTGCCATTTATTCCCTGTCCCCCCAGCCACCCCCAAATACAGTTGAGATTTTATCACCAAGCGGTGGGTGCAAGTACTTCTGAGAGACAAGCTGCAAATGTTCCTGAAAGGATTTTTAAGGGCATGCAAAACTGAAAAGGCCCATGAGCGAAGGTAATGTCACGAGTTGAAAGAATGCTCTCGTTCCAGGAATAGGAATGATTTGATTTCTTATCAAGCGACCAAGCCAGCCTGCTGATATAAGGCCTGCTGTTTTCCTGAAAAGAGAACTTGACAGAAGCCACCTCTGGAACTCGTGGGCATTTCCAGGAGGGCGCCGGGCATGGAGCTGGGAGAAAAAAGTCAGGGACTTACCCAATACAGCTGCTTTGGAAATCCCCTGCCTTAAATGAGGGAAAGCTGCAGCAGTGCCCTGGGCTGCCACTCTGACAAGAATATCCATGCTTGCAAATTGGAGGGGAGGAAGCCGGAGAAACCTGAGGGCCGCCTGCCAGCCGGCAGGGGCAGGACCCACCATCTCTCACCCCCGGAAGGGAAGCGGGTGGCTTCAACCCCTCGGGGAGGGCCGGCTGCGCGCAGGGGGAGGCCCGGCATGGGCGGAGGGGGCTCTGCAAAAGCACCCGGGCAGCAGGACAGAGCCGGGCACCGAGGGGAGATGCCCGGGGAGCGAGCAGGATCCTCTCGCCTGTTGTGTGTACTGCGTCCCGTCCCGTCCCGCCCCCCCGGGGCCGAGGGCACCTGTGGGACACGGAGGGACCCCCCTGTGGCCCGGGGGGCTGCGCTGGGTGGCGGTGGG